AAGCCTTCTGGTTTTTTTACCTCAGGAAGCCACCCCATTATGTCACTTTAACTGACAACTATTTATTTGCTTGTGAAGATGGGAGAATCCACACCAGTTGCCATGGATATAGCCGGGATTGAAGTTAGGGGGGGGCATGATATATGGGGGGGGCAGAACTGAGCTATCTGCAATGTGATTGGCCAGTTAGTAAAGTTTTATTTATGTACTGTGTTAGGAGGACAGCAACTGCCTTCCCAGCCCCAGCCCCCTAGGCCAAACCCATGTCAGCAGCTTTGTGGGATATCTTCAGGAGCAGAAAAGGCCAAGGAATAAATCCAACACAAGTCCAGAGTGAGGTCTTGTACACCACCTTAGGCAACTCCTGCAGCCAAGCTGGTGCCAAACATATAGCTCTGCCTTCTTTGGACTGCATCACCTCAGCCAAAATGGGGAATAGGGGGGTGCTTGCCATCTGGGCAGCCCAGGACTGCCCAGGCTTGTGCCCCAGAGAGGTCCCTTCAGTGCTGCTAATACAACAGAACCAACATTAAGGGTGGTTCTTTCTTGTGCATATCCCATTGCCTCAGCCTTATTATGCATCTGCTAGCTAGCGTGACATGAACAGAAACAAATGGCAGAGGGGAGGTGTCTGCAGCTTCACTTATGAAATGTGGACCCACTCTTTATTCTACTGCAAATATATGTGCGTAATTGGTTCACTGGTGGATGAAGGTGGGGGTGGGGTTCGTCCCAGGTGCCATCTCTGGGGTGTGTGACAAAAAAACACACCCTTGCGGATCTTTGCAGTGGCGCTCCTCCCATGCCGGGCATCTCGTGCAACCCCGTCGGGGTGGTGCTGGCACCCCCACTGGGCATTGCATGCACCCACTGATCCTGCTTCCTTCCTCTTCCCTTCCCTTCCCTCTCCGTTATTTACTCGCCTGCCTCCTTCCCGTGCTCTCCCCTGCCCGCCTGCCTGCCTGTGAAGCCTCCCAGGACGCTCGCAGGCTGGCAGGCAGGGGAGAGGACAGGAAGGAGGCAGGTGAGTAAATAACGGAGGGGGAAGTGTAGGGGAGAGGAAGAAAGCGGGATTGGTGGGGGTGTGCAGCTCCCTCCATGCCCCGCCCCCCCTCGGGAGAGTGCCCACCCTGGGCAGCACAGACATATGCTCTGCCACTGCATTGGTTTCATTAGGGCAGGATGCTGTGGCACAAAATCTGAGACCCTTCTCAGAATGTAGAGGAGGATCCTGTGGGGGTGGGAGGCAAAAAACAAAAAACCTCAAGAACAGGGGACCCAGCAAAGCAGATAATTGCTTACCAGACTTTGGGAAGGCGGTTGTGTGAGGGCTCTGGCTGCACCCCAGAGCCCTCCCATTTCCTTCCTAAGGCATGGTAAGCTTCAGAAAGCCAGGCGCCTTGCTCTGCCGCAGTGCAATATTTGACAGCATGGCATGGCAGCAGTTTCTCTGCACAATGCATGCCTAACTGAGGTGATGTACAATTAAAGAGATGCCCTTGAGGGCGGCAAAACAGGCTTCTCACAGGGCGCAATTTTATGAAACATTACAAAGCATGTCCGTTTTGTGTAGCTTTTGGGGCACGCGAGGCCTCTCAGGGGGTGCCAGAGCAATGCCACTCCCCACCCAAAAGCTGGAAGCTTACTTAGTGTCATGGTCCTGGGAAGGGGTAGGGGACAATTCCCCTCCCCAAACAATACAATCCCCCCTTAACTAATAGAGGTCCTTTCCCACCTAACATGAAGCCTGCCCACCTTACATAAATCCTGAGTACACCCCCCGGTAAGTGCTTGCCCAGTTTTTGGAAGGGGGGGGCTCTGGGAAAACATATGCAAAGGCAGCTTTTCAGCTTGGAAGCCACATGGAGTCCTGTGGACAAATAAACTGAGGTCATTTTCTTCAGTGCTGAAAAAAACAATTAAAATAAACCTTCCCCTGGTGTTTAAGCCTTTTTCTTCCCTTCTCCTCTTGTCTGTGTGTATTAGTGTTTCTGTGTCTCCTTTTGTCAGAGTATTCCTTTTTTTAATGCTTAGTAAAATAATTAAATTTTTAGGGAACTATCTCTCACCTTACCTTTGATATCTATGCTTCTAATTACTTACACAGCTTTAATCTTTGAGAAAATGTCCTAATATAAAAATAATCTCTAATATAAAATAACAGTTGTAACAAAGGTAAGTAAAAAATGGTCTGTTTTAGATGCTAAGGAGTAGCACTTTGCAGTATATTACCCGGTATGCCTCTACTTACTTACATCCGTATTTCAGATATCATTTTACCCCGGTATACCATGATATTTAGCTGGTAAGATATCACAACGTTGAAAAACAGCTATAGCCCCCCCCCCCAATTTCAGCCTTTTCATTTCTGACCATTTCATTTCATTTATATAGGATGCTCATTTCAACTGGTCAATATACATGTCTGTTCAAGTAGCTGAACCTCATATATGATATAATAGATGGCCCACATGACCTGCTCCACTTGTAGGGTATATTCTTCCTGAGGTACTTAATGCTGTTTGTTCATTATTTCTCTTCTGAGTTTTAATAGCACTATGCTATTTCAGTCCTTAAAGAATACCAGCTGCATCTGTAGTGGTGGTTCTCAGAATTGCATAAAGCCTGGAACAAAAGGGTATGATTGAACCTCTGGGCTTAATTGTGTTTCTTCTAATGGTGGTTTCTGAGAAATGAATTTGCCCTTCAGCTGTCGGCTTTAAGGGCTCCTGTTTTGCTACCTCAAGAGAGCCATTGCCTTACCTCAGTTAACCTCTTGTGTAGAGGGGGTTTGTGCAGCTACATCAATCCTTACCTGCTGCCATGGGCATAGCTAGGGTTTATGCTGGGGGGGGGGAACCGACCTATCTGTGATGTAATTGCTCAGTTAGTCCGGCATATATATTTTTATTTGATTGATATAGGTGGGCAGCTGTCCCCCTGCACTTCCTTGGTTTTGCCTATGGCATCTGCCTTATGGGATTGTTTCTAGAAAAGAAAAGGTTAAGGAGTAAACCCTACACAAGACCAGACTGGAATCCATAAGGTGATTGGATGGTGCCTTGTACATTTCCCTTCACGCCTACTTCAGGCAACATCTGCAGCCAATTTGGTGCCAATCATATAGCTCTGCTATCCTTTGGACCACAACCACACAACTAGAACTGTCCAGAATCCTTTAGTGCTGCTAATGCAACAGAAACCAACATTAAGTGTGGGTCTTTGTTGTGCATATCCCTTTACCTCAGCCTTATTATGCATCTGTTAGCCAGCACGACAAAAACAGAAGTGAGTGGCAAGGGGGAAGAGGTGTCTGCAGCATCACTAATGAACCTAGACGCCACCCTTTATTTTGCTGCAAACATATGTGAGTCATTGGTTTTGTCAGGGCAGGATGTTGGGCGGGGGAAAGAATCTGAGGCCCCTGTCAGCTGAATGTGGACAAAGATCCTGTATATGGCAGGGGGGGAGTGTGAAACTACCAGAACAGGGGGCCCCAGGAAGGTGGAGGTCTTCATACCGGATTTAGGGAAGGCGGTGGGAAGCCAGAGCTCTCCCATCTCCTTCCGAAAACATGATAAGGTTCCCAAAGCCTGGCGCCTTCCTTTTCCGCACTGTGCTGGCAGTTTCTCTGCACAAGTCGCCGCCAAGCTGAAGTGGCGCTCAGTTAAGAAGATACACTTCAGGGTGCCTATATAGGCTTCTCACAGGGATCCATTTTATGAAACATTACAAGGTTCTTCCATTTTGTGTGGCTTTTGGAGCACTGTTGCCAGAACCCTGCCCGCCTGTCCCCCCTTCTGAAAGCTGAAAGCCTAGTAAGTTATTGTTCAGCACTGGGAAGGAGGAAAGGGCTCTGGAATGCTTCCAGAGCCCTGACACTTAAACCTTATGCAAAGGCAGCTTTTTGCCTTGGAAGCTGCTCCTAGTTCTTTTGAAAAGAAACCTGGGTCATTTACTTCAGAGCTGAAAGAAAATAAACAAGGCTTCCTTTTTTTGTTTAAGCCTCTTTCTTCCATTCTTTGTGTTTGTTTGTTTTTCTCTCATGTCACAGAATTTGTTTTTTTCATGTTTAGTAATAGAATTAAATTTGTGGGAACCATCTTGCCTTTCCTTTGATATCTGTGGTACTAATTAATTCTACAGCTTAAATTTTAGAGAAAATGTGCTAATTATAATAATCTGGTTTAGACCTCTGCACAGCAGTAGTTGGCAGAAGTTCATTCCCTTCACCTCTATATACTTTAATCTTTTTTTCTGACACCTTGTTATATCAGCATAGAGTAAGGTTACCAGATTTTTTTCAGTGAATCCAGGGATACTTTTAAACTTCATACTAAATAGATGGATTTTGTCAGGGGATTGATTTGTAAATCTGGAGACTGTCCCCAGGAAACGGGGACGTCTGGGAACCTTAGCATAGAGCAATGTTTCACTGGTGACATACTATATCATGATGGCCCAGCCCTACTTGCAGCCCTTTTAATTTCTGACCTATATTTCTATGGGATACTCATTTCAGCCAGTCAATCACCATGTCTTTCCAAGTAGAATAAAACCCTATATGTTGTATAATACATTGCCTGTAGGACCTGCTCCCGTTATAGGACATATTCCTCCTGAGGTCCTTAAGCCTGTTTGTTGTCCATTATTTCTGTTTTCAGTTCTAATAGTGCTATGCTATTTCAGTCCTTAAAAAATCCCAGCTGCATCTCTAGTGGTGGAACCCAGAACCCAGAACTGCATAGAGCCTGGTACAAAAGATGATGACTGAACCTCTGGGCTTAATTGTGTTTCTTCTAATGGTGGTTTCTGAAAAATGAAGTTGCCCTTCAGCTGTCGGCTTTAAGGCCTCCTGTTTTGCTACCTCATGAGAGCCACTCCTTTATCTCACGTTATTCAAAGTTAACCTCTCATGTAAGGGGGTTTGTGAAGATGCATCAATCCTTACCCGCTGCCACAGGCGTAGCTAGGGTTTATGCTGGGGGCGGGGAACTGACCTTTCTGTGATGTAATTGCTCAATTAGTTCAGCTGATGTAGGGCAGCAGCTGTCTCCTTGTACTTCCTTGGTTTTGCCTATGGCATCTGCCTTGTGGGACTGCTTCTGGAAAAGAAAAGGTTAAGGAATAAGCCCTACACAAGACCAGACTGGGGTCCCTAAAGTGATTGGATGGCGCCTTGTACATTTCCCTTCAGGCTTACTTCAGGCAACATCTTCAGCCAATTTCGTGCCAATCATATAGCTCTGCTTTCCATTGGACCACATCCACACAAACAGAACTGTCCAGATCACCTTAGTGCTGCTAATGCAACAGAAACCAACATTAAGTGTGGGTCTTTTTGTGCATATCCCTTTACCTCAGCCTTATTATGCATCTGTTAGCCAGCACAACAAGAACAGAAGCGAGTGGCAAGGGCGGAGGTGTCTGCAGCATCACTAATGAACTCCACCCTTTATTATGCTGCAAACAGATGTGCGTCATTGGTTTTGTCAGGGCAGGATGCGAAAGGGGCAGAATCTGAGGCCCCTGTCAGCTGAATGTGGACAAAGATCCTGTATATGGGGGGGGTGTCATACCACCAGAACAGGGGGCCCCAGGAAGGTGGAGGTCTTCATACCGGATTTAGGGAAGGCGGTGGGTAGCCAGAGCCTTCCCATCTCCTTCCGAAAACATGGTAGGGTTCCCAAAGCCTGGCGCCTTCCTTTTCCGCACTGTGCTGACAGTTTCTTTGCACAAGTCGCCGCCAAGCTGAAGTGGCGCTCAGTTAAGAAGATACACTTCAGGGTGCCTATATAGGTTTCTCACAGGGATTCATTTTATGAAACATTACAAGGTCCTTCCATTTTGTGTGGCTTTTGGAGCACTGTTGCCAGAGCCCTGCCCCCCCCCTTCTGAAAGCTAAAAGTCTAGTAAGTTATTGCTCAGGGATGCTGCCAGAACCCTGGCAATTAAACCTTATGCAATGGCAGATTTTTAGCTTGGAAGCGGCTCCCAGTTTACAAGAACCCAGGGTCATTTACTTCAGAGCTGAAAAATAAAAATAAGTCTTCCTCTTTTTCTATTTCTATTTCTTCCCTTCTTTGCATTTCTTTCTTTATGTGTGTGTGTGTGTGTGTGTGTGTGTTTATCTGTCTATATTTCTGTGTCTCCCTCATGTCACAGAATCGGCTTTTTTCATGTTTAGTAATAGAATTAAATTTGTGGGAATAATCTCTCAACTTTCCTTTGATATATGTGGTACTAATTCTACGGCTTGAATTTTAGATAAAATGTACTAGTTTAAAATTTATCTGTACTACAGAATCACAGTTTTAACAAGACGTTAAACATAAGTCAATAATTTTATGTTTTGGTCCTCGAAACAGTAGTAGTTAGCAGAAATCCACCCACTTCACCGTTATATACTTCCATCCTTATTTCAGATACCCTGTTATACTATATCAGCTTACAGCGATGTTTTGCTGATGACATAATCTATCATGATGTTGGATGCCAGACATGGCGCAGCCCTACTTGCAGCCATTTTATTTCTAACCTATGTTTATGTAGGATCCTCACTTCAGCCAGTCGATCTCCATGCCTTTTCCAGTAGTAGAAAATCTCATATATGATATCAATTGCCTGTGGGACCTGCTCCCATTGCAGGGCATATTCCCCCTGAGGTACTTATGGCTGTTTGTTGTCCATTATTTCTGTTCTCAGTATTAATAGTACTATGCTATTTCAGACTTTAAAATATCCCAGCTGCATCTCTAGAGGTGGAACCCATAATTGCATAGAACCTAGTACAAAAGCGTATGATGCAATCTCTGTGCTTAAATGTGGTTCTTCTAATGATGGTTTATGAGAAATGAAATTGCCCTTCACCATCTGGAAAAACTGGACTTATGGCAACCCTATTGTTTATTATGTAGAGGGGATTTGTGCAGAAGACAGAACAATATGGACCCACTGCCTTGTGATATATCTTAAGGAGAAGAAAAGGCTAAGGAGTAAACCCTACACAAGTCCAGAGTGGAGTCCTAAGGTAGTTGTATTGAGCCTTGTATGCATCACCTTGCCAATAAAGGTCCGTATAGTTAAAGCTATGGTTTTCCCAGTAGTGATCTATGGAAGTGAGAGCTGGACCATAAAGAAGGCTGATCGCCAAAGAATTGATGCTTTTGAATTATGGTGCTGGAGGAGACTCTTGAGAGTCCCATCGACTGCAAGAAGATCAAACCTATCCATTCTTAAGGAAATCAGCCCTGAGTGCTCACTGGAAGGACAGATCCTGAAGCTGATACTCCAATATTTTGGTCACCTCATGAGAAGAGAAGACTCCCTGGAAAAGACCCTGATGTTGGGAAAGATGGAGGGCACAAGGAGAAGGGGATGACAGAGGACGAGATGGTTGGATAGTGTTCTCGAAGCTACCAGCATGAGTTTAACCAAACTGTGGGAGGCAGTGGAAGAAAGGAGTGCCTGGCGTGCTCTGGTCCATGGGGTCACAAAGAGTCGGACATGACTAAATGACTAAACAACAACAACAAATGCCTAGTTGAGGCAACGCCTGCAGACAAGTTGGTGCCAAACATATAGCTCTGCTTTCTTTGGGCTACATCAGTGCAGGCAGGGGTGGGGTCTTGTCATATGGGCAGCCCAGGATTGGCCAGGCTTGTGCCACAAAGAGATCCCTTCTGTGCAGCTAATGCAACAGAACCAACATTAAGGGTAGCTCCTTCTTTTTTAAAAACATGTTTTTATTAAAGTTTTCTTGGTTTACAAAAGAATGTGCAATGTCTCTTTTTTCAAGTTACATTTTCTACAGATCAGTTTCATTTATTGAGACATTAGTGTTACAATAGGAAGAAAAGAAGGGAGAGAGGTGGAGGGGGAATGGTGAGTGGGGTGGGGTTGGGTGGCAATGCTTCTATTCTACTTAGTGTATAGGTGGGGTTTTGTGTCAGGGTCACTTTTGTGGGTTCTCTTTACTATTCACTTGTATTTCTTTGGTGGTGAGAGAGGTTTGGTGTGGCCTAAGGTGTGGTTGGTTGTCTTTATTTGGCTGTAGTGAAACTTGTTTTCATGTGTGTGTGTTTGGATCATGTTAGCCAGATTGATTTGTATGCTGTTGGTGGGTTCTTGTTGGACTGTGTATGTGATAAAAGGTAACCATACCGGGGTGAAAGCGTCTTCTTCTATTTGTCCCTGTGTCAGTTTCAATTTGTTGGTTAGTTTTTCTAATAAGGCTGTTTCCCATACTATTTGATACCATGGGTCTATGCTTACTCCTGACAGGTCTCTCCAGTGTCTGGCTATGATACTTCTGGCTGCTGAGAGTGGGTGGCTCCTTCTTGTGCATTAACTTTTGCCTCAGTCTTATTACCCACCTGCTAGCTAGTGTGACATGAACATAAACAGATGGTAGGGGAGAGGTGTTCACTTATGAGCTACAGCTCCAATCTTTATTTTTCTACAAGGATATGTAGGTTATTGGTTTTGTGAGGGCAGGATGCTGTGGCACAAAATCTGAGGCCTCTCTCAGCAGAATGTGGAGGAGGAAAAAAGGGAAAAAACAAAAATCTCAAGAACAGGGGACCCAGCAAAGTAGAGAACTGCTTACCCGACTTTGGGAAGGCGGTTGTGTGAGGGTTCTGGCAGCATCCCAGAGCCCTCCGATTTCCTTTCCAAGGCATGGTAAGCTTCAGAAAGCCAGGCGCCTTGCTCTGCCGCAGTGCAGCATTTTAGAGCGGTGACAACATTTTCTTTGTAGAGAGTGGGCGGACCTGATGTAGTGCACAATTAAGAAAATCCACTTGAGGGCGCCAATACAGGCTTCTCACAGGGCGCAATTTTATGTAAGGTCCCTCCATTTTGTGTGGCTTTTGGAGCACTGACGCAAGAGCTATGGGCTGCTGCCATAGCAATGTCCTCCCCCGGAAAGCCGGAAGCTTGTAAACCTTACGCAAAGGCAGCTTTTACGCTTTGAGACCCATGGAAAAATAAGCTGGGGTCAGTTTACTTTAGAGTTCAAAAAAATAGAAATAAGCCTTGTCCTGTTGTGTAAGCCTCTTTCTTCCCTTCATCCTCTCTCTCTCTCTCTCTCTCTCTCTCTCTCTGTGTGTGTGTTTCTGTTTGTTTCTATGTTTCCCTCATCACAGAATTGGCTTTTTTCATTTTTAGTAATAGAGTTAATTTTTTAGGGAATAATATCTCAGCTTACCGTTGATATCTTGGCTACTAAATGTGCTTTAAATGTGCTAATTTTAAAAAATGTGCAGTATAGAATCACAGTTTTCTCAATATGCTAAAGATAAATAAAAATGTATTCCTTTTAGACCCCTAAGCAGTTGCAGTTGGCAGGACCATTACCTCGTTCCTCTCTACATACAGTGGTGCCTCGCAAGACGAAATTAATTCGTTCTGCGAGTTTTTTCGTCTTGCGAAATTTTCGTCTTGCGAAGCACGGTTTCCCATAGGAATGCATTGAAAATCGTCACATTGTATCCTTTCGTCTTGCGAAGCAAGCCCATAGGGAAATTCGTCTTGCGAAGCAACTCAAAAAACGAAAACTCTTTCATCTTGCGAGGCATTCGTCTTGCGAGGTACCACTGTACTTCAATCATTATTTCACACATCATATTATCTCAGTAAACCACAAGTTTTAGCTGGTGTCATATGATGTTGTTGAAAACCAGACATGGCCACATCCTAGTTGCAGCCCTTTTCATTTCTATCCTATGTTTATGTAGAATGTTCATTTTAGACTGTCACTCTCCATGCCTTTTGAAGTATTTGAACCTCATATATTATATAATACATTGTCTGTTGGGCCTACTTTTTTATAGGATATATTTCTCCTGAGGTACTTAACACTCCAGTCCAATTTATGCTGCTTTCATTTTTACATAGTGCAAAGCTTCTTCAGTCTTAAAAGAAACCCAAATGTACATCTAGTGGTGGGACCCTATAATTGCCCAAATACTTCCTTCTACAAAACGATAGAATTGAACCTTTGCACTTAATTGTGTTTCTTCTAATGGTGGTTTCTGAGACATGAAGTTGCCCTTCAACTTTTGGCTTTAAAGTGCTTCTGTTTTGTTACCTCAGGAGAGCCTTATCTGAATTTAACCGACCAACTGTGTATTATGTAGAGGAGGTATTTGAAGATGGAACAATCCTTACCAGCTACCATAGGTGTAGCCAAAATTTATTTTAAGGGGGCAGGATTGATGTTGGGGGAGAAGAACTGAGATATTTGTGACACAATTGGTCAGTTAGTTAAGTGCTCATGTTGTTTTTTGCTTTATTTCAGGGAGGGCGCTGCCCCTCCACCAGATATGCCCATGCCAGCTGTTTGTGGGATATGTTCTGGAGAAGAAAAGGCTAAGGTGTAAACTCTAAACAAGTCTGTAGTGGAGTCCTTAAGGCGGTTGGCTGGCACATCGTGCCAAATATATAGTTCGCTTTCTTTGGACTACATCAGCACAGCCAGGGGCGGGGTATTGTCATCTGGGCAGCCCAGGACTGCCCTGGCTTGTGCCCCAGAGGACCCTTCAGTGCTGCTAATGCAGCAGAATCAACATTAAGGGTGGGTCTTTTTGTGCATAATCCTTTTCCTCAGCCTTATTAAGCATGTGCTAGTTGCTGTGACAAGAATAGAAGCAAATGACAGTGGGGAGGTGTTTATAACTTCACTTATGAATTGTCGCTCCATTCTTTAATTTGCTGCAAAGATATATCCCTCATTGGTTTTCCCAGGGAGGATGTTCGGGGACAAAATCTAAGGCACCTCTCAGCTGAATGTGGAAGAGGATCCAGTATTGGGGGGGGGGAAGGTGTAAAATAAGATACCTCCAGAACCAGGGGCCCAAGCAAGGTGGAGAACCGCCTTCCCGACTTTGGGAAGGTGGTTGGAGAAGGGTTCTAGGATACTGCCAGAGCCCTCCTCAAACTACCTTCCCATCTCCTTTCCAAAGCATGGTCAGCTTCTGAGAGCCAGGCGCCTTGCTTGCTTTGCCGCAGTGCGGTATTTTAGAGCTGTGACAGCACTTTCTCTGCACGGGGAGGGCGGACCTGAGGTGGTGCACAATTAAGAAGAGACACTTGAGGGCGCCAATACAGGCTTCTCATAAGGCTCCATTTATGAAAAATTAGTCCCTCCATTTTGTGTGGCTTTTGGATGCTGCTAGACCCCTTTCCCCCCTTCAGTATTCCGGAAACTTAGTAAGGTCTTGCCTTGCTTTGGGAAGGAGGGAGAGGTTCTGGTATGCTGCCAGAGCCCTGACACATAAACCTTATGTAACGGCAGTTTTTCGACTTGGAAGCCGCTTCTAGAATAAACTGGGATCATTTACTTCAGGGCTGAAAAAAATAACAATAAACCTTGCCTCGGTGTTTTCCCCATATCACAGAGTTAGCTTTTAACAATTTCATTAATGGATTTAATTTTTTAGGGAACAATTTGTCACCTTACCTTTGATATCTATACTACTAACTACTTACATAGGTTTAATTATAGAGGAAATGTGCTAATTTAAAACACATTGAGCCAGTGTGGTGTAGTGGTTAAGAGCGGTAGTCTTGTAATCTGGGGAACTGGGTTCGCGTCTCCGCTCCTCCACATGCAGCTGCTGGGTGACCTTGGGCCAGTCACACTTCTTTGAAGTCTCTCAGCCCCACTCACCTCACAGAGTGTTTGTTGTGGGGGAGGAAGGGAAAGGAGATTGTTAGCCGCTTTGAGACTCCTGAAGGGGAGTGAAAGGCGGGATAACAAATCCAAACTCTTCTTGTTCTTCTTATCTGAAAGATAAGTTTTTATTTAAAAATTATCTCCTTCAAGCCTACTTCGCACAACATCTGCAGCAAAATTGGTGCCAAACATATAGCTCTGCTATCATTTGGACCACATCAGCAGAACCAAAAGGGTTGACATCTGGGCAACCCAGAACTGTCCAGATCACTTTAGTGCTGCTAATGCAACAGAACCAACATTAAGTGTGGGTCTTTGCTGTTCATATTCCTTAGTTTTATTGTGCATCTGTTAGCCAGCACGACAAGAACAGAAGCGAGCGGCAAAGGGGGGGAGGTGTCTGCAGCATCACTAATGAACCTAGACTCCATTCCATCCTTTATTTTGCTGCAAACATATGTGTGTCATTGGTTTTGTCAGGGCAGGATGCTGGGGGGGGGCAGAATCTGAGGCTCCTGTCAGCTGAATGTGGAGGATCCTGTATATGGGGGGAGGGTAGTGTCAAACCACCAGAACAGGGGGCCCCAGGAAGGTGGAGGTCTTCGTACCGGATTTAGGGAAGGCGGTGTGTGAGGGCTCTGGCAGCACCCCAGAGCCCTCCGATCTCCTTCCAAAAATACAGTAGGCTTCCCAAAGCCTGGCGCCTTCCTTTTCCGCACTGTGCCGACAGTTTCTCTGCACAAGTCACTGCCAAGCTGAAATGGCACACAGTTAAGAAGATACCCATCAGGGTGCCTATATAGGTTTCTCACAGGGATCTGTTTTATGAAACATAAAAACATACAAGGTCCCTCCATTTTGTGTGACTTTTGGAGCGCAGCTGCCAGAGCCTTGTCGCCCCTTCTGAAAGCTGAAAGCCTAGTAAGTTCTTGCTCAGCTTTGGGAAGAAGAGAAGGGCTCTGCCAGAGCCCTGACACTTGAACCTTATGCAAAGGCAGCTTTTTGTCTTGGAAGCTGCTCCCAGTTCTGTTGAAAGGAAACCAAGGTCATTTACTTCAGGGAAAAGAAATGTCTTCCCCTTTTGTTTAAGCCACTTTCTTCCCTTCTTTGTAATTGTTTGTTTGTATATGTGTTAAAGGTAAGTCAATTATTAACTGTTTTAGACCCCTAAGCAGTAGTAATTGGCAGAACTTCACCCCTTTCACCTCTATATACTTCCTTCCTTATTCCAAATACTGTTATATCATTATACAGCGATGGTTTGATGAAAAACTATATAATGATGTTGGATGCCCCACATGGCCCAAACCTACTTGCAGCCCTTTTATTTCCGACCTACAGGTTTATGTAGGATGCTCATTTCAGGCGGTCAATCTCCATGCCTTTTCAAGCAGCAGAAAACATAATATATGAAATAATACATTTCCTGTAGGAGCTGCTCCCGTTGCTAGGTATTATTCGTCCTGAGGTACTTAAGGCTTTTACTTGTCCATTATTTCTGTTCTCAGTTTTAATAGCGCTATGCTATTTTGGTCCTTTAAAAAGCACAACTGCATCTCTAGTGGTGGACCCAGAATTGCAATTAGCCTAGTACAAAAGGGTATGATGCAACCTCTGTGCTTAATTGTGGTTCTTCTAATGATGGTTTCTGAGAAATGAATTTGCCCTTCAGTTGTTGACTTTAAAGAGCTTCTATTTCCTTACCTCAAGAGACCCATTCCCTCATCTTAGTTTAACCGACAACCATTGCTTAGTGTTGCCATATTTCAAACAGTAAAAATCTGGATGGAAAAGTTGTTGAGCTTTTCTGGGCAAAATCACTATTTTAATGGAAGAAGGACTGCCATACGTCCATAATTTCCTATACATTTTCTGTCCAGATATTCACTGTTTGAAATATGGCAACCCTACCCTAAGCAGGATCAGTTGGCAAGACAATACCCTGTTTGCTTTACATACTTCCATCCTTATTTCAGACATGGTCTTATCTTGGTATACCACAATGTTCAGCTGGTGAAATATCAGAATGTTATAATCCAGACAGAGCCCAAC